GATAGACAAAATGTCGGCCGACCGTTGGGTCGTTTACAGAAAACAATGGTTGCATTCAGCAAAGAAAGCAGATTTGCAACTGTTGTAAAATTCTTCAACGGTTGATTCTTGTCTTTAGTTCCTTAGATTTTCATTTTGTTTCTGATTAACTTGTGATTAACTTTTACCTGATGATAGTGTAACAATTTATTTTTCTAGTTATGATTAATCACTAAATAATAATGTTCCTATAATAAATAACTCTTTAACATTTAGCAATTAATAATCAGAGAGAAAGAGAAAAAAAATTTTTACATTATTATCAAGTGAAGTTAAATAAACCACAAATTATTATATATATAATTATTATATATATAATTGAGGAACAAAGAAAATACGTACACTTTTAATTTCAAATTCGAATGCGATATGTTTCAGTCATCTTTATTATTTATTATCATTGATATAAATTTAAACTTACCATGACATATATTTTTTGTTATTCAAACTATGTGTGTGCGAGTTCTTACAATATTTTAGAACGGAAATAATTTTTTTTGTCGTGCCATATATCTACTATTTCTCTGTTATAATCAAAATATTATAATTATTTGTACTGTATAGTAGTAAAGTGATAGAAAATTGTCTAAATAAAATAGTTGCATGTTAAAAAGTGTTGTTTTATTAAACAATATATATTTGTAAATCGAATAAAACTGATATTTAATGATGTATATAACGTATTACATCTTAAAGCATTACAAATAATATAAAAATTTCATAAGTTTTATTATGTCTGAGTGAGTAATCGGTGTAAATTCGAGCATATTTCTTTTACTAATTTCAAAATATTTAATTTCTTGCTTGCTTTAATTTTTATACAAAGTTGCATTTATAATACTTATTTACAAAGGATATAATAAGATAAGAAGGGGATTTTGAGTCTCGTAATTCATCGCCACAGAGGGCAAAATAAACACCCAGATGAAAGAATATTTTGTTCGAAGTTTTATCTTAAAAGAGCTACACCATTTAGAGATCTCGAAAAAAATTTGAAAAATTTTTCAAAAATATTTTTTTCTTCGCTAAATCTAAACGAATCTTTACAAAAAAATCATTGATATAGTATTAGGAAGATTAGAATCAGAATTTTTTTGTCATTCTTGATTCAAAATTCTGTTTTTAAAAAATTCAAGAATTTAAAAAATCATTTTTTAATTTTCTGAATGTGATTTAATGTTCTGAAATGTTTGACCACTTCTAAAATAATTCAGCAGCTAAATCTTATAAATTATATTCTATATTTTTTTAGATTTTTAGATTTTGTGAGGAATACGTCGAAAAAAATAAAACCGCCATTTTCCGACCTAAAATTTAGCAATTGATATTTTAAATTGTTTTTAAATAATTGTACTTACCTTCAATCCCACTTCTGCAAACAATAATTTAACTTTAATATTATAAAATTTATATAGATTAAACAACGAGAATTCTTTTTTCTTTCCTTCTATTCTTTTTTTAAAAAATTAATTTAACTGATTTCATCTTTATTCCATCTTTTTTTTAAAACAAAGAGTATTTTCTAACTTTATTAAGCACATAATCAAACTTATCTTACCCTAATATAACCTGAAATATCATTTTAGATTTTTGATCTATATATAAGACTACTTAACCTAAAATTTATTCTATATTTATAAGTTTCTATTAACTCACTTTCTAAAATTAAACTTATATATATATATATATATAAATAAAAATACCATTTTTTAGAAATCAAGAAAACAATTAGATGTGAAAATACACGATATACAGAATTTATTTATTTATAATTATTATTTTATGCGAAATTATGTACACTTTTAAAAAGTTTTGTCAAAAAACAATTGTCAAATATATTAATCTGTCTTTTATAACTAAGTTTCTACTGAGGGTTCAAATTGGGTCGGAGTGTGAAAAAATTAACTAGTCGAGTATTCTCTTCTTACAATCAAATGAGAGGGAAATACTTGATTGTCGTTGGTCAGTTCTTGCACTCTGATCCGGTTCAAACCCTCGATGGAAACTAACAAGGGAAGTTTCACAACTGTCCGGAACCGATTTGATTTTCCTTGAAATATGTTGTTAAACACGAAAATCTAAGAGACACGTTTTTTTATACGTGCCCTTAAACTTATGTTAAAGGGTGAAATATCTTTGAAAAAAAAACGGTATTTTTCTTTCGAGACGAATATCGTCGAAAGTATAAAAAATAGAAAAAATTTTTTAAACAAAATTTTTACGGTTTCAAGAGTATCTTAACATTATAAAGAAAAAATAGTTTTAAATCTTTGTTCAACAAAATATATCCACTGCCCATAATTTTCTTAAATTTTCAATTTTTTTTTTATTAAATTAAAGATTATTTTTTTACGAATTAAACAATATATAAAAAAA